GCTAAGTGGCTGTTCCGGCGTCTCAAGTTCCTGACCGCTGAGTCAGACACCACGGTCTCTTCGTCAGCACAATTCCTGGAGAAACTCAAAGGGGTAAGCATCCATCCAAATGAGGTCATGGTATCTTTTGATGTTACATCCCTTTTTACTTCTATTCCCCAGGACCTGGCGATCGAGACAATTGAACTGCTACTACAAAGCAAATACGATGAAACGGAGAACCGTCTTGGACACGCCCAAATCCTTCAGCTCCTGAAGCTCTGTCTCAGGACGTACTTCACGTTCGACGGGACAATCTACGAACAGGTGAAGGGCACACCAATGGGTTCGCCGATTTCGGGATTCATCGCCGAGGCGGTCCTGCAACGGTTAGAGTCGCTGGTCTTCCAACACCACAGACCGAAATTCTGGGCCCGGTATGTGGATGATACCTTCGTCGTCATCGAACGGGATCAGGTGTTGACATTCCAAGAACATCTCAACGCCGTCTTCCCGGACATTCAATTTACGATGGAGGAGGAAGAGAACAACCAGCTGGCCTTCCTGGATGTCCTCGTATGCCGCAAGGATTGTAGTGGACTACAGACCAAAGTGTTCAGGAAAGCGACAAATACGATGCAAGTACTGAACTTCAACAGCAAACACCCAATCATCCACAAACGCATTTGTGTAAGGACGCTCTATCGGCGTGTCGAAACGCACTGCAGTGAGCCGGAAGACAAGATTGCCGAATTGCAATACCTACGACGGGCCTTCAAAGCCAATGGCTACCCGCGCAACTTCGTCGACCGGTGCATACGCAAAAGGGACGAAAGGCCTAACCGCACGGACACCAAGTCTTGGCGGGCACTTCCGTATGTCAAGAACGTTTCGGAAGCTGTCGGCCGCCTTCTCGCACCACTTGGGGTTGGAGTGGCACACAGACCGGAGGCAACCATCAGGCGTCTGATCATGAAACCGAAAGACCCACTGCCACGGCTAGAAACGTCTGGAGTCGTTTATCGAATCTGGTGCAGTTGCGGACAAAGCAACTACGTCGGAGAAACCGGAAGACAGCTCCGAACGAGAATGGTCTAACACGCGGCAGCGGTGCGCAGAAATGACGCCAGCTCTCAAGTTGCGGCTTATTCGACGAGAGCCGGCCACACACTTAAATTCGATGAGGCCGAAATTCTCGTAAGAGGTGACAACCGAGTGAGCCGGGAGCTACTGGAATCATGGTTTACTGGCCCCCAGTCCATCAAAAAGTGCAACGATCTTCCCATTCAATACAGCGTGCTGAGACTTCGTCTAGGCGGAGTAATTGGCCACCCGGGAGCGCACTGGTGAACACTTTTCCCAACACCAGGGTCGGTGCGTCAGATGGTCGAGCAATCATCACGCCAACATCCAACGCACGTGATGAAATTGCAGCAATTATCGACTCGAATGTCGGCCATCAAGCAATGATCACACCAAGTGCGACAATCCCGGATGAAGGGGGAAGCCGTGAACGTTCATAGGTATGCGGTAGCATGGCTGCTGCATCCTATAAATACCGCAGCCCCTTGTGCAACAACCACCCTTTTCTGCTCTTTTGTCTCTGATGATGGATTCGAGTAGGAATCCGAAACGTCAGGCTAATAAAGCTCTTGTCCCGGCGATCGTGTCTCCTTCTTCAAGAAGTGAATTCGATGGCAAAATGCTTGATGAAACAGAAGTCCATTTACTGAGATGGTGGGCCGGCCTTCAGAGCTATGCGTCCAGTATTCGCAAGTTTAGGGAATATGCGAATTCCTTGAAGACCGGGGATGGCGACAGATCTTATCTGCAGCAAAAACTGTAAAATGACTACCCAGCGGAACAAACATCATTGTGTGAGTTATCGCTTCATCGGTCGTGTGGAATACTTAATGGCGCGCCGCAGTTACACCTTTAAAGTGCACACCACTGTAGGAATAGGGATTAGAGAAGAACATAACCATTACCTCCCTGACAACAAGTCCCGTACCACGCTGTAGCTCGTTAACGCAGCAACTCTACTACCATTCCAACATCATTGTAAAATGTTGTCATAATCCATGCGATAAGGGCATATGCAGACCCATCTCCTAATGACGTAGTACCATAATAACACACGCATTTCTCTTGATAAGGAGAAAATGATATGCTTACCATTGCATGTGCTAGTTGTATCCCCATTTGTTCGTCCCGCGGCTGGAGTGTGGTTATGAGCATACTGTATGCACTATAAAAAATCAAGTTAGCACATCTGATACAAATTTACGCACTTTTCTCTGGAAAATTATCATCTCTAATGTAATTCAGACCGCTATTTCAAGTTTCAACTCAAATGAAGCCCATTCATCATTGGGTTGGAGTTTTGGTCGATGCATTCGGGCCAGCTTCCGACTGATTAGGGATTTTCGCTAATTTACGCACATCTTTTGATTACTGTCACCCCGAGTGAGTATGTACGTAGGCGGATGGCTACTGCAAATGCAACGTACAGTACTTTCTTCTATTTGAGAGCATACATTTCAACCAAGAACCACAGTTTATCTCAAAACATAAAACATGCGGAAGCAAACAAATTCTTCGGCCAGTAAATGGTAAATCAGGCCGAGAGGCATGAAACATCCCGAATGGCTGATTATTTTTTCAACAAATGGAACTACATCCTGGCGCGCAATCATTTTGGAGAACGCAGTCAAACCGTTTTTCTATAATCATCCACAAAGTCAAATATCGAATAAACACTAAGTTAGTGGTTGCTTAGGAAACGCGCATTTCGACAACGTTCTTCTGCTAAAAAAGTCAAATACGTTGGTGTATATGATTTTTTGGAGAAATGCGTATTTTCCACCATTGAAAATTCAGAACATTTCGGGCTCACAGATATTCAAATATTGGGCTTATTCTGGAGAGTAGCAAAGCTTTTGCTCTGCCCGCCAACTTCCTCCGGGCGTTTCCACCCTTCTTTAGTGTTGTCATTAAAAGACATGTAAAAATCCTCAAACCTGTCAACCGTGACGAAAAAACAGTAGTCAGTCTTCAGAAAAGCCATCATGCCTGTTGGTATTTAAGACACTTGCCGCGCTCCATCATCGGCGGCAGGAGGGAAAACATCGTGTGTGGCAGAGGTCGCGGTTTCTCGTCGCCCCTTGGTCGCCTGCACCCGTGCTCAGTTCTATAAACTGGACAACTCCAGCGTCTTTTCTGCCTGCCGGCCTCACATCCTCCGGATTCTCCGTGACTCTAGCCTGTACCCCCTCTATTTGCCTTGCCCTCGACTTAACGAAGTCCCACGCTTTCGATTTGGAATACTCAAATGGTGGTGGTGGTGGTGGTGGTGGTGGTGGTGGTGGTGGTGGGGGATGAAGGAGGGGAAGGAGGTGGATGCCAGTTGATTGTTGGAATACCTTTCTAACCCTAGATTCACTGCATCACAGTAAACTCCGTGGCAGACCAACTATGTTGCAGCCAGCAGACAGACGGAATACATTTGTGTGCATTATAATGCGCACAAATTCTACGAGCATTTGGGAGTGTCTAAAATCCAAATATGTTATACACCGAAATACCCCGACCTGATTTTTTGTAATGCTACCTTTTGAACTGAACCCTTCATCAGTCGCATCATGGAAGAGAAAAGGTAAACTTTATATTTCAGACAATCGATGACGGGCATTCGCAGTTAGGCACGTAAGCGAAAGGGGGTGAAGGCATTTGTTCTATACTGCGGGACCCTAAGATACTGGAACGTTTCCCAATGGGAGTCACCCGTACCAGTTTGTTTCAATCCTCGCTCCTATGCCAATAACCGACGGTGCATTCTGACGTCCCAGTCAATGTTACCTGAATTTCAACGCCTTTTCCACCATTGAAGCGAATATAGGACTTTCGGGAAACATTCGAGAAGAAGGAGACTTGATAGCTTAAACAAAACTGTTACTGACCTGACGTTTTGAGTTCACCCTCAAATCAATCTGATGCAGTCTCTGATGATGGATCTGAGTGTGAATCCGAAACGTCAGATAGATTGAACTCGACAGAGGCCTGAAACGCGGACGCACTGGTAAGCCGGAGAACCCTCAATAATAACCCGAAATCTGACCCTGAACCCTGACTCTAGATCCCAACCCTAAACCTTAACTCTAAACCCTAATCCTTAACCTTACCTCAAAACCCTAACATTAACCCCCAAATACCAGCCTTAAAACTACACCCTGGACGCCTAACCTCTAAATACTAACGCTAATACTAAATCATAAACCTAACACTAAACAGAAACTCACCTACCGGAGTCCATATTAGTACGCAATTCGCAGGCAGTTGATCAGTAAATGACTAGATGGGACCGCGATTTAGGCCTCTGTCAAGTTCGGGTGATGGGTTCGAGAGCGAATCTAAAACGTCAACTGTATAAATGTCTTGTACCTTTGACGAAGTCTACCTCCTCCCTTCAGAAGAAGTCAGACTGCAATGGTACTTTCTACCTTGGATGAAATGCTCTGCACACGCTTTTTGTGGGATGGTCTCATGGTTGCAGCGTCCTGACGAAAGGATTGCGGCGTGTTTGGACAAACAAAACGGTCTAATCTGATTTGTCGTGCAGACGGCGTATGCAAATTCGTTCCATACCGTCTTCTTGACGCTGCGTCACCCCTGCTTGTTTATGCGAAAACGCCATCAATTTCAGACTTCCGGTTGGTTATTTCCTGTCTGCAACAGCTGAAATCGGTCATGGCTTTACTCGGAAAACTGGGCGCCTCCCACCGCAGATCAAACGGGTGCAGGAATCCGTGTGGTGTCCTTTTTTACTCCCGGGAGTACTTGCAGCGTTTCAGCTACTGTTTGGCTTCCCCAGCCATCATACAGTAGGTGTGCTAACTCAAGAAATGTGCACCGAAATTCCGAAATGCGCTTTCGTTTCGAAAAGATTAATTAAGCAGGGTTATAAAACTAATCATCTTGCAGTTACCTCATGATGCCGGCTTTCGAACGAACTTCTTTCCAGCTGCATGCAAATCTATCATTTGTGAAAAGTGACTACTCAAGTAGCATGCATTTTTCCCATTGATTTTCGATGCCCTGAAAAATACAATCTTATTACATGGGAAACGTGCGAAAAATATCCATTCTTCTGCTCATTCGGTAGAAAATTACGTCTTCTTCCAACTTTACATTCGAAGGAATGGTATACTTCGGTTTTCAAAAACTTTTTTTTCGATTTCCAAATAATTTTGAACCCGACCTGCCGTTACACTTGCAATCAGGGTTTCAAAACTAAAAGTCGTATATTTTGCGCGTACAGAATACCATACAGTTCCCTACGGTCTTAAGAGGGGGCCATATGGGGTTCATAAAATTCAGCAGTGGATTTGAGCCTTATTGTTAACTTTACAAGCCAATACAAACTATAGTGAAAATCGACTATAACTTATAGTCAAGCAATTTCCAATGTTAATATCTGTCCTAGGCCATTGTTGCGCATCTATGTGTGTTCTTCTACCAGATGTCATTCGGCTGGACACGGAAAATATGCACCCGCGGATTACATATGATCTTGAGCAAAATTCCAGTGGTAGACCTATTCCCGTGTCGAAAGCCCTACCCTATCAATAACCTACATGTAATATGGGAGTAAATGCTCCTAATATAAACAGAAGGCGAACGCCAAAACAGCGGATTCTACCGTCACCAAGAAACCGCAGGAAAGTTCTCTTGCTTACGACCGCATGCCCAAATTTCTTCGTGCCGGTGCTGGACTGTGGACATGTGGACTTTGGAAACCTTTTATTCCTGTGCAGATTCCACCAGCAAATTCAGTCAAAATCATCTTCGCCTTAGTCAACAGCATCTCGAACAATGCCATTGCCGAAGAAATTACAATTAGTTCTCCCAGACTAGCTTTGAAACGCCCAGTGAAAGAGTACGCAGTTGATTAATTATGATATGACCCACCACACTAATTCCTGGAAGATAATTTAAGTGAAAAAGTATACAACAACCTCCCAAAATGTTGTTTTGCCTGTGCTGGTTTATTTACTCACATATATGCTTCGGCGGAATGTAATTACAAAAATTATGTTGGT